CAAGTGGTGGATACCTTGTAGCTTAGATATATTAGATGCGCGATACGCGCGCACTATATTCAATGGCCACTGCAAACATTAAGGTCAGTGGAGTGGTATGCAAGTAAGGACTTTTGATGATTCAATTAGTGTCCCGTTTATTGTTGGTGATCGAGAGATACATGTATAACTATTGTGATACGTATACACCAAGGTATGTTATGGTGCTTTTAGACTGTAGATGAGACTAGGAGAATATTCAGTATGCAAAGAGTTTCTGCATTTACAATACAGCTTTAAAACGATTCATTTTTATACTCGCATTATTTATACCGTATGTTACTCATTTGTATTGCACACAAGAAGAGAAAATAAATCAGAAATACGAGACAATTATTTCGTTTACCATCTGACGGATGTGCGAATGTGATCACACTTTCAGAAAATATTTCTGATCTCCTAACATCGTGTCTGTGTGGCTGAGATTTTTATATTTTGCTATTTAATATGTTGGCTACCAGCGTTTATTTCGGTGACGGTCTCCTCAATTATATTTTCTTCAATCCAATCAATCTAAACAAAATATTAGAAAAGTGAGACTGAAATGAGTCATTGAGTTCCTAAATTACTGTCATAGTTTATAATTTCTAATAAAAATATCTATAGGATTAATTTCATTTTCTTCTTCTGCAAAGAAGAAATTCTACATGTCTTTTACTCAGTTAACGCTCTAACAATAAATCATTTGTTATCGTCAGATAACGAAGGAATTTATTTTTGTTCAATCGAACTATAGGAATCGTACAAAATTCGACAGATACCATTTTTAACAAAGAAAGAATTATTTTATTAAATAAGTTCGACTGTACATTCGCCAAATATTGGTAGAACAATGAATACCTTCTTACTGATATAAGAAAGAATTATTTCATTAAATAAACTCTATATTCGCCAAACATCGGTAGAACAATGAATACCTTCGCTTATTATTAACCCTTAGTACTGCCGGTTGTCTTGTAATCTATCAACAACTGCAACTAATTTTTATAGTATTCCCAGCAAAAATGAGAAATGCTATAATATTTCTTCGATTTTTTATGTTCCTTCCTAGTACAAAATTCAGATGTGTGGAAAATCTAATAATTTTAGGGTAGTTTCTTTAAGATTCATTAACACGTTGAGTGCCACGGGGGTCACCGATGACCCCCAACCAAATCTAATTACTATAGTTCACTCAATTAAACCATGATTATTTGAAAACATTTCTGTATTATAAATAATGCTAACTAATGTGGTGACATTCAGCTAGATGAACCTGCAACAATAACAATGCAATTCAATCAAATAGTTTAATATCATATTTTTTCCATTTCAAGTATTTTGTACCATGAAATCGTGCGGCATTCGACGTCTTAAAATATATAATATTATAACTGGTGCAATATTGGAGACTACAGAGTTCAAAGGGTTATAAACGCGGACCAAGAGAATTGAACATAACCTGTTCTCGGCCGAGCCGATCGAGTTCGATGAATTTCGGTATTCAATAAGCCCGTCAGGAGGCGCCGTTCGAAGTGAACCAGGAAGACGATGGTCGCGAAGTTCAAGCGTGGTGGAAATGTGAGAGCAAGGGCAAGGTTACGGTAATAGGCGGCGGCTGTGAGACAGAGGAACGGGGAAATGAACTCGGTGGGGCCACACGAGGCCGTTGCCCTTTACAAATCGGTCCCGTCCACGTATTGGTACGGTGAACGCTCGCGTACACACCGACGTGGACAACCGCGTCCTTATCTCGTTTAACACGCAATCATATGCGTACGCTTCGTCGGTAAACCGGCCGCCATGAAACACGTTCTTTGTTTTTCGGTAACATTTCCTTTAGAATAGATTCACGCGACTTAACCCCTTGCCCTATGATTTATTTCTGAACTATAATCGATACAACTATTTTATTGTTAATCATTTATTAGGAAAAGAACAAATTCGGATGCTTATTCTATGTCTACGTTTACTAGAAAGGTTAACGATTGATAATAGAGGAGTAATACTTAATATATATTTTTTAAAAATGAATAATACTTAGGTTTCTCAAGTTCAGTTTATAATTTTCGCTGCGAGTCTGACACGATATTGTGAGTGATCGATAATAGAGCAGTAATACTTAATTTATATTTTTTAAAAATGAATAATACTTAGGTTTTAGAAATTCTGTTTAAAATTTTTGCCGCGAGTCTGACACGATATTGTCACTCAAGGGGTTAATTGGAACCGATACCATATTTGATGCTTTACTATTTTTCACCCAGTCATTTATTCGGTTTCTTATCGCTCGGTGATACCAGTTCATATTGTATGCACTTGAAGGAACTGTTACCTTTGGGGCTAATTACTTTCAGTACATTATGTTTCCTCCAACCTTTTCATCTTCCATGGGCACTCCTCGAGTCTGCCGTTAAGGGAATGCAGAATGACAAAACATTATTCAGAGAAAACGAATGCCTGTCAGTATGGTCATTTTCTTCTGATTTGCGACGTGCCTTAACGCGTTCGCTACCAGCGTCACGTATTTGTGACGGCCGTAATCCTATATTTTACATAATGAAAATGAAATTAATCCTATATATATTATTATTATAAATTATAAACTACGACAGTACATTTAACTCAACGACTCGTTTCAGTTTCATTTTTCTAACCCTTCGTGCTCGAAAGGTGACTCTCAGTCACCATTAGATTCGATACAGCAAAACGGCTTATATATAACATTATGCTCTGCATAATGCATCGATATGTAAAATACTGAAATAAAACAACTTTGTTTCTTAATCTAGATACGTTTTCTCATTTGTTAGTTTCGAAGAATGTCGTTTATATCTCACTGAAAAATGTTGCACATTTCTAGGAAAGAACTTCCGAGTGCAAAGGGCTAATATTTTGTTTAGATTTATTGTATCGAAGAAAATATAATTGAGAAGATCGTCACCGAAATGAACGCTGGTAGCGAACGTTAAGCACGGCGGTGGTTGACCATGCTCTTGGACATTGAACATTTTTTTTATAGGTTAAGTTCATCGGTAACGTCTCTTTCCGTCCAAAGAAGTCTTTTAAATTTCACAAATCTTTGAAGATGTTTGAACATTAATATATGGCACTGCGAGGTCTTAAGTTTGATCGTTACCTTTTCCTAGAGAATAGGATTCTCCTACTTCCGTTGATGCGTTCAGTGTGAAAAGCGTGTTATCGCGGGAACTGTCCCTTTCGCGATATTTCCCGCGAATAAGATATCAACGTCTCAGCTTTTAGAAAAATTGATTCAAGCCGAGAATATGTTCCGTGCGGCCTGTGTATGCAAGGGAATGTACACACAGTGGCCCGCAGGTTCTTGAACTTGCCTGACGATCTGTTTCCATGCCAGGTGGGGACCGGGATCGCCGGTCGGCAGGAGACGTCGTCACACCTCGCTCATCCTCCGCATCGTCAGGACGTTCATTGCTCGCCACACGCCACGGGAATCGTTTTTTTTTCTTTTTTTCTTATCGAAAGCCGTCGCAGTCCTTTCATTTAACTCGCGTGGAATTGCACCGCTCGGCAACAACGAATCTTCTTGAATCCCTGGAACCACCCTGCGTGACTCGACGAAACGGAAATCGTTCGTTAGAAAAGTATCTTCGATATACAGGGTGAGTCACCTAAAGTTAGAACCTAAAATATCATCGTTACACTTAATAACAAAAAGAACAAAATTATAAGGAACAAAAATATTCTACTCGAAGTGGCTAACATATTATGATTTCATCGTGGTAATATTTTCAAAGATTCCGGGGTCGATTTTTGTCTTTAAACGATACATGTTTTTGTTAAAGTGAAAAAGACAGTGATTTCCAGTTTAGTCGATACAATGAAAAATATAACTAATCAAAATATAACATTTTTACCACAATGTTAGTTCGAATTGAATATTTTCCTCCTTGTAAAGTTCTCTTCCCATTAAAAGCAACTGAGATATTTTAGGTTTTAGCCTGAACTCACTCACCCTGTACGTTTGCACCGATAATCGCGACGCATATCGATGCTATCGATCAACATGAGAGTCTTCAAAACGGTGCTGCTTCTCGTCGTGTTCATCTCGAGTAGGGTCGAGTGCTTACCGGTTGCGAACGAGACAACGATCGTGGATCCGACAACTGTGCTGCCGAGTTCCTCGGACGTCGATCATTACGATCAACGACAGAACGGAACCGAGAATTTCCGTGTCCACGTGGACGGTGTGGTATTCGTGTTCGCCCCCGTCGAAGCGCTCCTCTTAGCTAATGCTGTTGGTAACAAGCCTAACTTACCGATACCTGATCCGTCCAAGCCGACTCCGGATAAACCGGAAATCGGGCAGAAACCTTCAGCGGCGCCTAAGTCAGCAAACAGGTATTTCCGATTGCCAATATTAACCCTTTATACTCGACGATATTTCTTATTACGAACATTCATTTTCTGACGAAATATTAATATTATCTTCAACTTATATAAAGAAACATATTGCATAAATTATGGGGCAGAGTTGTTTTATTTCTATGTTTCATGTGTTAATATCTTATTCAACATTTTATATTGAATTTTTCATTTTATAATTTTGCTGCGTTCAGTCAAATGGCGACCGAGTGCTGCCTCGCGAGGGCAAAGAGTTAAAACTTGTACTATTGATTTAACCTAGAAGTAAACTTCTTATTTTAATTAGATTTTCCGCCATTAAAATGTATACATTAATTTGATATTA